GAGGCGCTTAGGGACATGGTTTAGCGGGCATGGTGGTGTTGGGTTGATGGTTTGACTTGATGATCTTAGAGGTCTTTTCCAACCTTAATGATTCTATGATTCTATGAACTGCTACACAATTTTTTCAGGTATAAAGGGTCAAACTGAAAGTGTTGGGAAAAGAAATAGGTTTATAGTTTCACATGTTCTTGAACACCAAAACCCCAAATACATGGATCAATTAACAACTGACAGATTTATGCTAGAGGAATTAGTTCAAATTTCAAACAATACTCCTTACACATCCCAAATTAGGCTATATCAAAGTATCTCCTGACGTAAAGGTACCTTAAATGATGGAAAGCATAAATAAAAAACCTGTTAGTACAGAGTTAATATTTAGACATTGGGAATAAGATTCAGAAATGTCCAACTGTAAATGCTGGACAAAGAGTTTATTTTGGTTTTCAAAATCAAACCATGACTCATATGGATTTGGATTTCACTTCAAACAAACATCTACTGGATATTAGGTGCCAGCTTTGGTTCTTTAATACAACATTTTTTAAAAAACAGTGGTCTTGAAGCTCCCCTTTCATTTGGCCTGAATTCATGTAATTTTGTTGCTACTAAATTACATATTAATCTTTACTATACCTGTTTATATAAATCAAACAAGAATAAGAGCATCTATACATGACCTTAAAATAAACTGGAGAACCACGTGATTAAAATAAATAGAGATACAAACCTAGCAATGACAAGAAAGCACACTGATTTAAAATATTGTTCTTACAATTATCTTGCTTGTTCAAAGAACAGTTCACACATGTTATAGTTAGTAGCTAAACTGCAATTTAGCTTAAATTTCCAGAGTCTGACTCCAAGTTATTCTTTATTCTGGTTTTTAAGTAATGTGTCTGAAGTTACTTCTGCTATGTATTCTCATTCTTGGGTAATCTTTCCAAAGGATATGAGTCACTTCTCCCTTATTTGTAAAGAATATGGAAAAAGTAAAATATTATTATTTTGTGGGCATTTGGAACTAGATGTAAAAAAAATAGGTGGGATGTTGATCATTGTGAGTCATTTCTTGGGAAGAAGGAAAGAACAAACACTAGCTGCTGACCTACTGCTATGAAAGCCAAGGACTTACTGCTGACTCAAGAAGTAGATATTGACAGCTGCAGAATACAAAGGAGATCTTGCAGCAGGATTAAAGAGGAAAGCCTTTCCTCTTTCATAAGGAGTTATATGGAGCTGCATGTGTTGATTTCTTGGAGGTTGTTTGTTTAAACAATCTTCTGGTTTAAACACGTTAGCCAACTAGAACTATATCCTGCAAATAGTTGCTACAACTAAATGAGTCTCCTCCTGAGTTTCCAAAAGTCCTAGCAAATCTTCAGGTAGGTAATGAAGTGCAAGACTGAACTCCATAGCACTGAGGTAGCTACACGAGTAATTCCCAGTGCAATCCCCTACTGTTTCCTAGTCTTTCACCAGTCCTGGTTGGTATAAATATTGGTATAAACAAAACTGAAGCAACATAAATACTTTGTAACACATTTGCATTCTGATCAACTCATTGAAAAAGAAATGGTTTGATTCCAAAACTTATTTTTGAAAGTGACTTCATTTTGTTAAATGGCCCTTGTATGCTTTATTTATACCAATCAAGCAGCTGCACTGGAAACTACTCAGTTACTTACGTGTGTAACTACACAAACTACCTGTAAGGTATGCACAACACAAAAGACAATGTATTTAACAATTAAGACTTAACTATACTTATGATTTGCCTGTTTTTTTCAAGCTGCAGTGGACACACTATGATGAAGCCTGATAATTATCTTTTCTGCAGGTGTTTTTTTTGTTTGTTTGTTGTGTTTTGTTTTGTTTTTTTAACGAGGAAAGCTTCTTTCCAAATGTAAGGATGCAGTTCCATAGCAGCTTGAGCCAATTTAAGTCATGCCTGCTACTCTTCTCTGTCTCTTCTCAGCCCCTTTCTGTACAAAAGAGATGTTTTTGTGCTAGCACGGGTGCTTGAGCAGCTCAATAGTGAGCCAGTTCAGAGTGCTGATTGAAAACTAGTTCTAAACACAGATTTCAATACTGGTAAGTGATGAATTGGGAATGAGCAGCGGGGTAGGATTGTCAGGAACATGGCAGTCTGTATTTATGTTTGAAAAAGCTGCTGTGAAACTGAGTCTGAATGAAGGCTTTCATGGAGAAACAATTATAAAAATGTGCTCTGTCATTACAAAATAAGTTTTTTAAAGACTTTGAATAAATATTTTAAAATCATAGTCTTACTAATGCTAATAAAAGTAGTACCTGCTCTGTGATCTTTATATGAGTTTATTCATTGTTACTTCTAAGTAAACCTGAAGCAGTGTTAACAGCTTGGATGCCATAGATTTCAAAAAATCAGTAACAAGTAAAATGCTACATTAAAATGTTTGCACTTTACCAAAATGATTGTGGATGTTTACATAAATCATTTTTAAAGCATAAATGTTTAACAGTCCAACAGTCCACTACAGAATGTTAACTTAGGGGTGCAGATGGATCTATGTGCCTGTTATTTCTTAATGTCAGTCAGAGGGCTCACATGGCCACTTCAAATCCTTAAAAAAGGTACCTTTGCAGCTTTGGATTTGAAAATCATGTTCAAGTTCCAACCCTGGAACAGCTGCTCTCCAGCCAATAAATCCCTGGGTAGTCTTAGGTACTGGAGGAGATGGAATCACCTAGAATAAAAGTAACATATAGAATTCAATGATTAAAAGGTTTTTGACTGTAATTTCTGTCATGCAACATCCTCTTTTGTGCTCTAGTGTGGATGGAAATGATAACTTATCAAAAATAGTGGTTTTAAATGCAATCTGATGAATTAATATCCTGAACACACACTGACATTAATGGAAGGAAATAAGAACTTCAAAAGATAGCCCAGTTGCATGCAAGTTTAATTTATAATAAAGAATAGTTTATAATTTAAAAAGTCATTAGAATAATTTAGGTCCCATTCTATAGCAAGGCACAGGGAAAGAAAGAAGTAAAATGAAGTAACTAATTTTCATTTACCACCCTTCTAAAAAAAAAAAAAAATCTTTTAGTGCCTAAATTGGTATGTATAACAGGAAATCAAAAAGCAAAGTTATTGTTTAGTAGTGTATGTTAGCATACTTTTTTTTTCTTTAAGTTTTGCTCAATACCTTTCTAAGGGCTTTACATTATTAGGAGAAGAATTTTATCTTAGCTTTAGCTTTTTTCCTTACAGAATAATAATAATAATAGTCATCATCATCATCATCATCATCATCATCATCATCATCATCATCATCATTATCATCATCATCATCATCATCTTTAAAACTAGTTAGCTTCTTTAAAGAGGAGAAATAGCATTTTATACTTGCTGTAATGTATTTGGTAGCAATGCAGCTATGGAATAATAGTTTTGTGGCCAAATGCTAAAGATATTACTGACCAAGCTGGCTTTTGCATCATGAACTACTTATTCGTTCCACCTTCTTTCTACTTTAAAAGATGGGTAAGCGTCAAGTTAATCTGCAACTAATCTAGCTAAAAAGGAAACCAAACAAAAGCCAACAGCCTCTGTTCACTGACTGCTGTGCTTACTTTGGCTGAATCATCTCAATTGGGCACGTTATATCATTTTAGCATCTGGGGACTTAGCAGAGAAATACACAGCAAGAGAACAATGTTTCAGTTCTCTTGCCAGAGTTGCTTCACTTTGTTCTTTGGCCAAGATTAGAAAATGTTTATGATATTTAGGTGGAGCAGTTCCTCTGAAAAGATAATTTTTATGGCCAAAAGTGCCACCCACTGAGCAGGATAATGAAGGAAATCATGTCCCACTTATGATCTGGGGGAAGGGACTATGAAGAAGCAATTATTAATCTAACCTAGAGAGAAGAACATATACGGTGACTGTTACCATGAAGGTAAATGTGCGGAAAGACACATCGTTCTGAATAAGGACTTAAGCAACTTCACCCTGAATATATAAAGGGTGACCTAAATCGCAGCTAACCCTTATCTTGCTTAGCAAATGAAGATTCTGAGGTGAAATTGAAACTATGATTCCTGTTTTGTATGCACCAGGCTATGCATGCTACTTTAGCAGCTGATAACTCTCTGCGTGATTTGTTAACACACATACACCCTCACTGTGCTGAAGCAGAGGTAAACTTGACTGAAATTGGAGGCTTGAGACAAAACTGAAGAACAAGTAGCACTAATGGCAGAAATGCTGCCATTTCATTTCTCTGCCACACTCAGCACTAGCTCTTAAATTTTTGTTTCAATTTAATCTCAGTAAAAGCTTTTACTACTTCCTCACCTTATCTCGCCACCCTTGGAATCCTTTGAAAGCAAGCTAGTTCAGCAAGTAGGAATTTCCAATCTCTTTCGTTTCCTTAATCTTCTCTAAGTGGACTAACCTTCCTTTTTGTTAGCATGTTCTGCTTCCCCTTTTATGAATATGTTCCTCTCCCAATGTCACTGATTTAGCTGCCTGTATAGTTATCCTATTCATTGGTGATTCTGACACTGTATATTTATAAATCAAACCATCAGTCACATTCCATTCTAATTTCCAGCTGTTTGACAACTTTTAGACTCTGAATATGTGAATATAAATCATATAATATAAAATCAAATAGTTATTAATTGGCTCGGTAAAACTGGCTTCTTCTTGCTAATCTAATTTGTGCCACTAAAGAGGACAGTGGCATTGTCTCTGCCAAAAAGATGACTGTCTTAAATAAAGCTAGAAAAATGACTGCTTCTTAACCAATAGTTAAAACTGAGAGTTAAGGTTATGATAAGCCTTGAAGTAAGACGTGTATGTGTATATTTGAGCAATCAATGGTCAGCAGTCATAAATGGCTCTCTTCCGTACTAAGCTGTACAGCTGACTGTTCTGTTACTAGATGTCACAGAGGAGTGCATGGGGGAGGTGCTTTACAGAAAGATGATTATGTACAGTGAAAGCTCTGTCAACTAACAACCATATCCAAAGGGCAATTCCTTGTCTTAAATGAATGCTTTTAAAGCATTGCTCGGGTTGCAAATACAATTTACTTTGACCTTTAATTAAAGGCCCACCTCTACAAGACAACTGATTTTTAGAGCTTGTGTGGTTTCTTAAGACAGATATTGCTGTATTGCAATTTTAAAATCTCATCTTCTAACCTTAATGTATTTTTCCACAGGTGTCACAGGTCGAACCTGCAGATGTTCTGGAAGCTGTATCTTGGGCTTTGTATTTTCTTTCTTTTCATCTTCAATCAACTAAAACCAAAACATCAACATTAAAAATTGGACTCTTTATCTTTTGAAATATGCTGTAATATCTGATCTCTATACCATTCCCCTCATCGTTGCATCTGAACTCCCTGTTCTTTCCATCTAAAACAGGACTACTTATTGTAGTGCTTTGGAAATTATTGTAATGTACTTTTTGGTTTCAGAAAGTGATGTAATTCTGAATGTCACATGAAAGGCTAAATATTGCTAAGTGATTCCAACTCTCTTAACTACACCAGTAGTCCAAAAAGGGCTAGAAATATATCTTGTATATATCTTATATGACCACAAAACAAAGATTAAGAAATGCTATATACACATGTTCACCAACAGTAACAATGCATAGTTTGTCAACTTTTCAGCTGTAGATTTATTAGTACTGTGCAAAGGTGGTATGTGTGACAGACCACAGTTATCAAGGATAGATGTTGAAGCCCAGAGGACCAAAGTTTTCAAAGGTGCTAACTTGGATGCCTACAGGAATTTAAAAAAAATCCTAGAACAGATTAAGTACTTCTAGCCCCATGGAAAGTACATTTATCAGGGGCTGCATCAATCCTGTTCTTTAGCAACGAAATACCGTGATTCCAAATGTAACATTATGTGCTACTATATTCTAATATCTAAACATCACATCTCTCCAAATATTTTCGTTTGTTGTAAATTCCCCCACTGAAAATTTAATTAGCTAGAACCTTTTCCCCTTGATTTTTAAACTACCATATGGATAGACAAAGGGGAAATATTCTCCTGTCAGTGTGCATCTAGTACTTGTTAACCCTACTGGGAGTCATGTTTCTCAAGAGAAATATATCAGAATATGCATAGCATATAAATTACCACTTGCCATATTTTATTCAGAGGAAAACTGAAACTTTGAACCCATCTTAAAAGTAGTGCATTTGTTACCTCGGACCCTAGCTTAGTAAAGTATACTCAGTACTTTTCTAGTCTTCTGCGCTCTCATAATTTTGTGATGAGATAAATTTGTGTACAAGTATATTTCATGTGTTGCTTATATGCCATTCAATTTTACCTCCTCAAGAGGTGTTTTCAAGAATCCCCATTTGTGAGACCATCTTCTTGCAGCTTCTAGTTCACTTTCAATGTATTTTTTCCTGAAACAGAGAAATATTTAAGATGATTTTGAAAGTTTTCATTAAAAAAAACCAATGCAAACCCAACTACTAATGTCACAAAGCAGAGCACTTCAGCATGAACCTTTAGACCTTTACCTCAAAACAGCAAGTTTATATATGAGTTAACAATTGTCTGACTTGGAGGTAATGGGGAAATATTTTCCATAGGTTGCAAGTACATGTGAATGCACTTCCTTGCAAATTACGTTTATGTTAGGAATTGGAGGAGGTCAAATTTGCTGTGACGTATTTTTTGAAAAACTGGAAAAGTAAGCACCAATGTCCTTTGATACATACTTTCATTTACTGTTGACAGATGAAACGACCCTTTGTCCCCCGCTCTGCCCCGGCCCTACTCCCCATGCCTCACGCCCAGAGGGGGGATGGAGGGCAACACTGGAGCACGTCCATGGGCAGCGCTGGCGGCTTGCGGGTCGGTCGCTCACTGCTTTGCCTGTCCAACTCAGGGCTGTGCCACTTGAGGGTACAAAAAACCTCGGGCTTTTTGCAGATGGAAGGCTTCTGAATGAGCACACACACTTTACAAACACACGTGAAGTGAACATACGAGCAAATTCTTTCAGCTTCCGCCCGCCTGAAAGCGGGCGCTGAGCGCGGAGGTGCCGGGGGAGGCTGCTTTGGGCGGGAGGGGAAGGAAAGGAGGCGGCCGGAGGGAAGCAATAGAGGAGGCCC